TTTAGCTCACAATAAAATAATATTTTCTCTTTTTTAGGGTTATGGTTTAGGGTTTATATTGTAAGCTTTAAGATTTAAGGTTTATGGTTAGAGTTTATGATTTAGAATTTAAGGTTTGGGGTTAAAATTTTAGGGTTTGAGATTTGGGATTAAGGTAAAAAGAGATATTTATTTTATTATGAGTTAAAATATATTTATTTATGGGGTCATTTACATTATGCAAAACTAATAAATTTTACATTAATTTATAGTCATCATATTTAATTAAATAAATGACTTAGATTTAATTAAAATTTACACTAGCAGGTATCAAGTTCTCTTTTCTTGATTTCTTTTGCTCAACTCTACCATTGGCTTCATTATGTATTTCACTTCTCTCATTAGTCCGACCCAAACCTGAAGAGAAATTACTTTCATGTTCAACCAATCTTTCTCCAGAACTTGTTTGAGTATTGGTAACTATCTTAGTGTTGTAAGCATGAACAACACATACATTTGTAATAGCTTGCATTCCTTTACCATGCTCAATTCTCTGAGGTAGTTTTTGATCAGAAGTGAAATTTAAACTCGAAGTATCATCCCATTTCATCTTTTGTGTTCCAGAATGTAATATTGAGGTATTCTTGTTCTTGGCTTCATTAATTTTACTTGAGCATTCTTGTTTTCTTCTCATTTCCAGTTGTCCGGTGATCCTTTCATCCCTTTGTTGATATTGCTTTCTTGTATGCTGAAATGAACTCTGCGCCATGGTTGTATATTCTTCCCAGATCTTCATTTTTGATCCTGACCGACTCTGAACTAGATTCCTATCTTCTTTCTCAATCATCATTCTAGATTCAGATTGCCGGCTCAAAGTAGAAATTCTTTCAGAACTGTCTCGGATTTCTGACTCTCACATTTGCTTCCCTAATTAAATAAATAAATTATTTAGATTTAATTAAAATTTATAACATGTAAATAAATATTTATTTAACTTATAGTAAATAGAAATTTTTTTTTCATTTTACGGTTAGAGTTTATGATTTAGGGTTTTCTATTTAAGCTTTAAGATTTAGAGTTTATAATTTATGATTTAGAGTTTAGAGTTTAGAGTTGAGATTTAAGTTAAGGTTTATGGGATTTGGATTTGGGATTTATGATTTAGGACTGAGGTGAAAAAAGTTTGTTTCATTGTAAGTTAAAAATAAGTTTCACTCTAATTTATAGCCATTAGATTTAAATAAATAAATAACTATGATTTAATTAAAATTTATAACTCATAAATAAATATCTTTAAACTAATGGTAAAACAACATCTCTTTTTACCCCATCTTAAATCTCAAACTCAAATCCTAAATCATAAACCTGAACCCCTACCCTAAATCTTAGAACTTAAATTATAAACCCTAAACCTTAACCTTAAAAATAAAACTATGATTTTATTGTGAGTTAAACAAATATTTATTTATGAGTTATAAATTTTAATTAAATTTGTCATTTATTTATTTAAATCTAATGTTTATATATATATATATATATATATATATATATATATATATATACTCATTTTCATCCAAGTTTTAAAGAGATCATTCCGTTTTAAATTTAAAACTTTAATTTTATTTTAACCATTTTTTAAATTTTTATAATTAAGGTTAATATTAATAGACAATTAGTAGATGAATTGGTTTTATTAGTTGGTTCATCATTAAACCAAGTTTTATTATTATATATTTGAAAAAAAAATTAAATTTTAGGTTAAATTATGGTTGGAATTAATTACATATTTAGATGAATTTGAAGATTAAATCTGAAGATTCAATAGTTTAGGGATCAATTTAGAAAAAATGTCATAGTTTAATGAAATTAGAATATTCAAAAGTTTAAGAATTAATTTAGAATGGAATCAAAGTTTAAGGATGAAATTAGAATATTCAAAAGTGTAAGAATCAATTTAGAATAACGTTTATAATTTGGAGACATATGATGCAATTAACTCTGGTTTGATTAACGGTTGTGATTGCAGAAGGTAGAATTCCGAACACTGGTTTTATCCGTGTGGAATCACCCAAGTCGAGAGCATGCACTGGATTCTAACCCTTTTAGAGAGGTGTCGACTCCGAAGCGAAGCTCTGTCTCAAGTAGAATCTATTTCCAACATGTAAGCTCTCTCTCTTTTTCTGTCAAATTTAAGCACTGATCTCTCCTTTTGTCTCTTGTGTTTTTTAAATAATCTAGCAGAAGTTATTTAGTCTGTGAATAACGTGATTTCGACCCTGTGGATTGAACCAAAAATCAATTTTCTGAGCCTAAAACTCTTGACCGATTAGTATAATCAAGTAATTATTTAGTAAATCTCTTGAGATGATATTCGAATGCTTTCGAATTCAATCTGCATTTACCCATCTTAAATAGTTTAAACTTGTGATGAGCAATTGGGGATTAGATTTGATGGATTAGTCTATTTATGATCTAAATAACTGCTGATGGTTGTTTATTATTATTAAGTTTGATTATCGTTGTTGCGGATTTAATGATTACAATTTTATTTTCATTTTCATTTGTGTTTATGTTAGTTTATTGTTAGAAGTAGCGTTTTATTTTGTTCATTTGGATTTTTTTATTTGATGATATTAATCGCTTGTTTTTATTTTCACTAATTCATGTTTATCAGCTTGCGGTGTAATTGGTAGGTTCTTCCTGCTCTAATTGAAGATTGAATTGGGAGCTATTGTTTAGAGCTTAGGTTATCTGCTTTCGAAGTCATGTCTGTACCAAATGAAGATAATACTCAGGTAACCCTGTTCACTCAGCTGACTCTTTTCCTCTTTGAAATGAAAAACTGAAGAACAATTTTTAAGTTTTCGGCAATTCAAGATTTTATCTACATGAGATGAACAAGATTAAGGGTCTGTATATGTTTTCCCCCCGAGTTCATTTAGAAGATCGAGCGATGTTTTACTGATGATTCAATTGGAACAAATTATCTTGTTTGGATGGATTGTCTTTGCAGCTTTCATCTCACTTTTATGGGGATCTCTTGGATTCCATAATTGTTGATGTTGCATCTGAGTGTCATCGGATAGCAAAGTTGGGCCTTGATCATAATTTGGAGGAAGAGGAAGAAGAAATGAGGTTATCGGCACAAGCCCGAGCCAGGGTAACTGATCCTAGTAACAGTGGTGAAACAAATAACAAGTATGTGGTGGATATATTTGGACAAACTCACCCTTCTATTGCCAGTGAAATTTTTGAATGCATGAACTGTGGGAGATCAATTTCTGCAGGGAGGTTTGCTCCTCACTTGGAGAAATGCATGGGAAAGGTGATTTTGTCTGTAATCATCCTATCATATACATTTGTCTGATTTAAATTCAGTATAATGTTCTTTTTGCATCCATGAGAATAGACTATAATTGTGATTGAGTTGTCGCTGTTATAATTGATTATGCCGAACAGCATACCTTACCAAGGATAAAATTCCTTGTATTTTCATGGTGCAGGGTAGAAAGGCTCGTCTCAAGGTTACTAGGAGTACCACATCTGCACAAAATCGTTATTCACGAGGCAGCCCTGTTTCCACGTATTCGCCATTTTCAAATCCTACGAGCACACATATATTATCGAATGGAACACCTAGTGTTGCAGGTGAGGAGTACTCTAATGGCACTTACGAGGGACCATGAAACAAACTGGAGCAAATGCTATTAACATGTCAATAGACTTGATGTGTAATTCACCTAGTTAAACTGAACTCAAGTTGTCTCGCCATCTTTTTCAGAATGTGTTGGGCCATTAGTTTGGTACTTAAATTGGAAAATTGGAGGCAACATTTAAGAAGGTTTGAATTTGCAGAAGCTTTTGGATACATTGCATCATTCCCATTTCACTTGACCTAGTGGGTTTCAGTAGACGGTAGAATATGTATATTTCTCAAAACATTTGGATCGTTTTTGGCGATTGAGGGAAGAGAATACCTGTAATTTCCATGGTCCAGAATAGGAATGCTAGGCTGAAAATGGATGGGTAGAAGGACTGAGATATAATATTCCCCACCATAATGGGCTCTTCCACCAAACCAACATCTTCATGTTTTCTTCTTTCTGGAAAAAAAACAATCACAATATTCCCTTTTGATTGCTTAGGAAATAAATTATACATCCCCATGCTAACATGTGATTTGGACCCCCCAACCCAAAACTTAAGTGGTAATTTTTTTCGTTTTATTATTGTTTTGGTTTTGTCAAATATCTTTCGGTTGAACCCGAAATTGGGCTTCGACTTGGATTAAACGAATTGGAGTCGTCACCGATCATTCAAAATAAATTTTAGGATGATCGGACACCATCTTACATGATCTGTGTTTTACCAGAAATATGTCGGGTTCGAGAGTCAGTTACGGTCAAGGAAGGATTTACACCCTTGAACCGCCCTTTCGGTATCAATTCATTTATCGGTTGTCTTTATGGGGGAAAATTAAAAATTAAAATTAAAATTTAAAACATCGATTCGAATAATTACCTTTGATCAATTGAAATTACCACTGAAAATGTCAAAAAAATATTAGATGATAAAATAAAAATAAATAAGAGGAAAACAATCTAAAATAAAATAGGTAACAGAGATAATTAAAAGTTAGTAAAAATAATAAAATAAACAAAAATTAAAAAAATTAAAATAAATAAAGAAAATAAAATGAATAAAATAAAAAAGTAAAAGGGTTAGTTCAAAAAAAATAAAAAGAATAAGAATAAAAAATTAAAATAAAATAAAAAAAATATTTAAATTAAAACTATGAAAGAAAAATAATAATAAATAAAACAGAAATGATTAAATTAAAATAAAAGTAAAATAGAGAGTTCAAAATAAAAACAAATGCAACTGGTGATCAAATTGAAAGAAATAAAAAAATAATTCCAACGCTACTAATGTGAAACTCTTTAATGACCCATATTCTAGTTAACCCAAAAATTATATGAAAATAAAAAAAACCTTTGATTTTCACGCGTGGAATCATTTGACCATTTCTTTCTTTCCTTTATGCCGCGCTTGTTGTTCTCTCCTCTGTCTCTGTCCTCGTATCAGCCGAGAGAACACACGCAGCTCCCCGACCACTGTAAATCGGTGGCCAAGGGGAGCAAAACACTGTGGAAGCCCTCCTTCGAACCTTTCCTTCGAATACCGATTCCTCGAGTCCCTCCCTCTTAACTTTATCCTTAAAATAAATACCCAAAACTCTCGAAAGAAAACAAAAATCAGATCCGAAAAAACAATGATTCTTTAACTTTCGGTCGTGAGTTCGTCTAGTTCCAGTGAAGTCTACGAGGTAAGAGCTTTTTTCTGTTTGAGTTTTTTTCTCTGTTCGAATGGGTTTTCCCCGGATCTTTCTACCGGTTTTTCTTGTGTATTTTCCTGTGTAAATCCTAGTGTAAATTGTGTGTAATTCTCTTCCTCCTCCCCGTGTGTTTGATGTTTACATTTATTTATAGGTGAAAAATATCATATTTTTCCTCATTAGTTTGAGTCCTAATCGGATTATAATGTTAGGTTGTATGGCTTTGCTTTCCTTGCGTCGGAGGACTCGGAGGTGTGGCCGGAGTGCGCGAGACGTGCGGCCATGAAACTCGGAAACTCGGACGCGGGTTGACCTCATGCGGCACTGTTGACTGCTGGAACAAGTATGGGCGAAGCTAGGGTTGAAAAACGGGCCACTGGGATTTGTTTGTACTTGGGCCACCCTTTGTAAAATGTTGGGCTTGAGCCTGTATTAAAACAAAACATGTTATGTAATTATAAAATATAACATGTACACCATATATTATAAATAACATGTAAATTAACGTATAAATGTAAATGTCTCAAGGACGAAATTAAGTGTCTACAGGTTCAAATTATCCAGCCAATTGAATCCAACAGCAAATCAACAAAAAAAATTTAATTTAAACTCTGAATCCAGCTCTTGTGTTGATTTACGTAAAATATATTGTAAACATTTTATTACAACGATTATTATATGGTGATGTTATTTTCACTTTTTTTTCCCGCATATTTATTCACATTCTCACGATTGTGACAACTCCAAAATTTATTTTATTTTTCATGGGTTTCACCTCTGCTCCTACGACTTTGCATCTATCTTGGAAGAAATTGGCGGTCAAATTGGCCCATTATGACAGTCGGACAAAACATTTAATCTATTAGGGCATCCAAATATTTAATTTGAGATCTACGATAAATTGAGTCTTCTCCATAGAATTCGTTATGTCGGAGTGACGAGTTTTATGGGATATAATTTTTTTAATGGGTCGTGGTAGGGGGGCCCATAGCCTAATTAAAAAAATTTCTTAACGGACTCGTCACATCGGTGTGACGAGTCTCAATAAAAAATAATTTTCAATTTTTGACTGTTGGATTGACCATTGTTAAACGGTCGATTTTTTTAAAAAAATTCAATGGGACTCGCCACGCTGGTGTGACGAGTTCCAACAGCTATTTTCAGTTTGAAAAAACTAGTCGTTTGGTAGAGTAGTATAAATAGAGGTTTGGGTTGGATAGATTTTTCACTTGTAATCAAACATTCTATTGAGAGCAAAAACTTTTGTGTTGAAGAATTTGTGTTGAAATGGTCTCAAGATCAGAAATGTTATGTCTTGATGAAGTTCATATTTCGTCGATCGAGTTAACAACGGTAAGTTTAATTTGTTTTATTTCATTTTAGTTTTGACAAAATTATAGTATTAATAATAATTATTTATGTAATTATATTAAATAATTTATTTTTAAATTGTAGCGAGAAGAACGAACCATTCGTCATCGAGGAATGACAAATGAAGAGCCACATGAGCGGATGGTGATATATCTTTCACAATCTGGATTATATGGACCAATGTTTCTTCGCACATTTAAGGTGAAGGCGGCACTGATATCGGCGTTGATTACCTTGTGGTGAAGTTATGATAACTTTGGAAGAAGTCGCATATCAACTTGGCGTTCCGATTAATGGTATGTCATTGGTGCTTCGCAATACTTATAAGGTAAATAATGTTATTTCAAATTTATTGTGGAATGAGGCTCCAACCGATGTCATTGATGGGTTGTGGGTACGAATGACGTGGTTGGAAAGAGAATTTAGAATAGATGAACAATCAACGGAGCAAGAGGTGATTTATGCAGCTCGAGCATATCTTTTGACGTTGATTAGATGGATCTTGCTACCGGATAAATCGGACAATTTGGTGCATACCAAATATCTTCCGGTAATGGAGGATTTCGTTGTATTTCGCCAATATAGTTGGGGTTTTACAATTTTGACGTTTTTGTATCGTGAACTATGTAAGGCGATCGTAGTCGTTAGAGGAAAAAAAGTGGATGTAGCGGGTTGTTTAGTTTTGCTCCAATAATGGGCGTGGTATCGTCTCCCGTTTATGACACCTATTACATCCGCTCCTATGGAGTTTCCTCTCGCCGCAAGGTAAATTCATATATTTAAAGTTTTCATATTTTATAATATTTATTTAAATATTTTGAAAATGACAATAAATTTTGTATTTTTTTAGATGGCGACACTGAATAATCGATACAAAGTTGTCAGGTGCAACCAAAGTAGATATTCAGATGAGAATTGATATCGCCGGTAGACATGCGATAAATTTTCGTATTTTTTGCATTAACTTTTAAATTGTAATATTAATTGTTTAATTATACTAACATAATACTTTTGACAGTTTAATTGGATGCCTTATTATCAGTCAGATATCCAACAGTGTCTACCGCCAATGTTCTTTGAAGGAGCGGACACATGGTGTGCCATAACACCATTGCTCCATTTCGCAATTGTTGAGATCCATGTCACCGATAGAGTTTTTCGACAATTTGGGTTTCACCAACCGATAGAAATGTCAATATATAACATTGACGATTTGCATAAAGTAGATGTGCGTGGGAAACATAGTGAAGATTGGTCGAGGAAGCATGCTACATTCATATATGATTGGTAAAATAGACATTTATGATTGCCTAATCGTTCCAAGGTACAACCTGAAGATTTTGATTTTAATGTTTCTCTGTACCTCCAAAATTATGAAGCAAATGGGAAACCATACTTGACAACGCTGGAGGAGCAGTCCGAGTGGGAAATAATGAAGGGAAATATGGGGAAAATCATCATTTTCGTCAATATCTTCATCTTATGCTTCCGCCAATTATTATTCATCGCAAGAAAGTTATGATGGATATGGTGCATATCAACCATCAATGGAGAGTCAACCGGTGTGGGAAGAAAGTGGGTGAGATCAAGTGCCACCTTCACAACAATTTTCCCCAAAACCAGAAGAAAGAGGTCCATGGGATCATCTTCTTCATCACGAACAATCTCAATTTGAGGCGATGATGCCAATGATGTCGTCAAATACCTTGAGTACTCCATCTTTTTCACTCGAAAATGTATATCAAAGTGGTGGAGTAGTGTTGGGAACACCGGAACCGGAAGAAGAGGAAAATGAAGAAAGTGAACGACCACGACGAAATAGACGAGCACCACGTCATTACCATTCTACCATGCCTCGACATCGGCAAGAATTACGCAAATATAATAAATTTGTTTATTTAAGTTTTTGTAGTAAATCCTCATTTCCTAATAAATTATAAATAATTGCTCGTGCATAATTGTTGTGAAGCACCAATAGCATACCATTAATCGGAATTTCAAGTTGATACACAACATCTTCCAATGTTATCATCACTTACACCAGAAGGAAAATGAAACGTATGTGTTTCGGACCTCCAACACTCAATCAAAGCCGATATCAGTGCTGAAATCACCTTAAAACCACGAAGAAACATCGTTGGATATAATCCAGATTGTTTAAGATATATCACAATCCACTTATGTGGCTCTTCATTCGTCATTCCTCGATGACGAATGCCTCGTTCTTCTCGCTACAATTTGAAAATAAATTATTTAATACAATTACATAAATAATTATTATTAATACTATAATTTTGTCAAAACTAAAATGAAATAAAACAAATTAAACTCATCGTTGTCAATATGAACTTCATCAAGACGTAACGTTTATGATCTTGAGGTCATTTCAACACAAATTCTTCAACACTAAAGTTTTTGCTCTCAGTAGAATGTTTGATTACAAGTGAAAAATCTATCCAACCCAAACCTCTGTTTATACTACTCTACCCAACGACTAGTTTTTTCAAACTGAAAATAGTTGTTGGAACTCGTCACATCGGCGTGATGAGTTTCATTGAAATTTTTAAAAAATTCGACCGTTTAACAACGATCAATCCAACGATCAAAAAATTAAAAATTATACCCGTTGGTGTGACGAGTTCCATGAAAATAAAATATTATTTTTTTAATTTCCTTTCAAAAAATTATTAAATAAAAAATTTATTTTTTTATTGGGACTCGTCACGCCGGTGTGACGAGTCCCTCAAATTTTTTTTAATCAGGCTATGAGGCACAACTGACACGACCCATTAAAAAATTATATCCCATAAAACTCGTCACGTCGGATTATTCAATTTGTCGTAGATCTCAAATTAAATGTTTGGGTATCCTACTTGGCTAAATTTTTTACCCGGTTGCCGTAATGGGCCAATTTGGCCGAAATTGGCACCATTTTTATACCAAAGTTTTCTTTGCCGTCAAATGCATAGATCTTTAACCACAGGAATCCAACCCCTATCTCCAAAATCATAAATATTATATAAAATTTCAGCAAAAGGGTTGCCAATAAAATAGTCACAATCAAATAATTTTATTAACCATTATAATTAAATTAAAAAAAATATTTTACTATCGTTATGGTTAGTAAATAAATTATCATACGCACCCATTTTTTTCAAAAATATAAAATTAAATTTGGTATGAACCAACATATGTCATTTATACTTTTATCTTATTAATATTATACTAAAATATATATTAATTTAATCAAATAAAATTATTATTATTATTTCATCATATTTGATTTTATAAATCTAAATTCCCTTAAACATGTATGGTTAAGAATTTTGGGAAGAGTCTAGAGCATACGTCACACACCAAAATATATTATTAATGTAACATATTGATGTACACTACTAATTAAATTGTCCTTATTAAATAAATATAAAAAATATAATGACCTATCCACAAATAATCATTTACTATTATTTAGTTTAAATTTTAATAGTAATATAATTAAATTATATTTTTATTAAAATTAAATTTTTTATTTGTTTAAAATTAAAACAATTAACTTACTTAAGTTTGCAAAATCATTCCAACATCAACCATAAAAAAAACCATTGAGGATCATATTCATCGCCGAAAAATCATTTTCTATGTACACTGGTGCATTATAAAACTTCTCTAAATGATAATTACATAAAACCAACTAAATTCTCCCAAAGGAAAACACATCTCCCAAGCAAGTCGAGATTCCGTGCTTCTTCGGGTCTTTTTTTTCTCTCACAGTGTACCATAGGGATGTGAGTTTAGGTAATCGTTCATGTTTTAAGTTTCAGTTGGATCTTATCAGATCAAGTTAAATTAAATACAGGTCGAATCATGTTATTTTGATGATTTGACTCGGATCAAGTCAGGTTCAGATCAAATTAGTTCGAATCATTTTTATGTCGATTTGACATCCGATTCAATTCAGCTTCAGATCATGTTAATTTCAATTCAAATCGATGTTAGTTCAGGTCAAAACGGTTTTGGTCCGAATCAGTTCAATACCAGGTTAATTCAGGATCGGATGGACTTCAGGTCGGATCTCGTTTAGATCGGGTCACATCATTGACAGCCAAAATCCAGGTCGGATCTTACCTGGGTACATACTGACTTCAGGTCGGGTCTTTTTTTAGTTAATTATTTTTCACACTTCATGAACGATGAATTGTAATTTGTAATTGTATATTATTTCTAGTAAATTAAAAAATATATAAATAATTATGATTCAATTTTAATAAAAATAATGTTTATATATATATCTGTGTGTTTATATAAGTATATGCATATTTTTGTATATATATATATATATATATATATATATATATAATTATATATAAGTGTGTGTATATATGTACAAGTTAAATATACATATAATTATATATAAGTGTGTATATATAAAGCAACTTGGCAACTTGTTCGCATAGATTGGCAACTTGGTAATCCTTGAAAATCACACAGTACCATTAATGAAATAAAAGCAAGGGCCATTCCATTTTTCTTCTCTCAAATCTGACGGCAACATAGAATCTTGTTTTTTTGTTTTAATTTTAAAATTCAAAAGTATGTTGTATTAAAAATGAGTTTTGATTTTTTTTTGTACATTACTTTTAATATATAAAAATGAGCTTTATTATTCAATATATATATATATATATATATATATATATATTAAATGGGTATTGAATTTTATTTAATGTAATATATTTATTTATTTGGTCTTACTTATAATGCGGACTGCTATATTTATGTTGTGTTTACTATATTTAATGAACATTAATTTGTTATGTTATTCAAATTTTTAATCTCAAGTGTATATATATATATATATATATATATATATATATATATATATAATTTTAAGTGAAATTATATTTAAATTATTAGTCAATTATTACATAAAAATAAATTAAACTTGTAAATATTTTATATATAATCTAATAAAATCATTTGAAATAAATAAATTATTTAATAAAATTAATTTACTAATTATAATTTAAATTTATAATATATGGAATATAAATAATATAGAAAGTAAATTTATTAATTTGATTATCATAACTAACAATTTGTTTTAACTTTTAAAAAGTAATCATATTAATTATCATAGTTTATTATAAGTAACTTATAACTCTGGTAAATATCAAGTTAGGTAAATATTAGATAAGTTCAATAACAAGTCAGTTCATTTACAAGTTGAGTCAATTACAAGTCAGGTTCATAACATGTCAGGTTGATATCAGGATGGGTAATACCAGTTATTTACCAGGTTGATATCAGGATGGGTAATACCAGTTATTTACCAGGTTAATCTCAGGTTCGGTTTCATATTAGTCGGACTAAGTCACATTAGGTTGTTCAAATCAGTTATCATATTATCATATCCATAATGTTTAGGTCCAGCTCAGATTTAGGTCAACATCAATTTGGACTCGAATCGATTTCAGATTACCACCACCTTGAGTCATAACAATTTTGACTCCAATCAGTTTTAGTTAATTTTATAGGTCGGGTCAACTTTTTACATCCCTAGTTTACCATGATGTTATCGTTTTAATGATAATGATGAGTTATTTTTAATACAATCTTGCATTACTAGAATTCTTTGGTTTCTAACATTGTTTTTCCCTTTTTTTTAAACTTTATTGGTGTTTCTGCTATTTTTGATCTCACTTGCATGCGAGATGTTATGAACAAGTTTGGTGGTTGATGTGATCTTACTTCTGCACCTTTTACTCTTCATCTTATTTTCTTCAACCATATGTTACATACATGTACAATGCTTTGCATCCATGTCATGTCATGTTAAGAATGATATTTGCTTGCCTTAGGATTTGTGTCATGATTAGCATAGTTCATTTCATCTTATGCTTACTATATTTCATGCATATAATGTTAAGCATGGCCTATAGTCCTTACATTATATTCCTACTATACTTAGCTTAGCATTATGCATTCATCCACATCTTTACTTAGAATATATTATGATTATGCATGTTTAATTATCTGATCATATACATATGTTCACACATCTTGTAACCCCCCAGACTGATGCAGGTGGCTTGAGCCGATCTGGAGTGTCACATTAGGGCCACCGGAGCGACCCACCGTAAAAATATTAGAAAAATTAATTTTTTTTTGTTAAAACATGTAAAATCATAAAATCAATTTACAATACAAAAGTAAAATTTATCTGTATTCAGAGATAAAACATATTTCAGACTCATATATATAACAAAATACAACCTACATGCCCCATAATCA